AATTGTCCCATATCATAGGTGTGCGCGGATCCCAAGACTTACGGTCTCCGTCCCCGATTATGGCTCCTGGACATAATGAATGATGTAATGAATTTAATAAATAGCCTTCTTATCTCTTCTTTTTAGAGTTTTTATCTATTTTCCTTTGTGTTCGAGTTTTGAGGGCGAAAGTATCCTTTGTTTACCTTCTCTTGGTTGCTAGGGAATTCTTCAGTCCACGTGTGCAGTCCGTGATCCTTGAAAATGTTCACGATGTAGTCACGTGCTCTCTGTTTGGCGTCAGGGTCGTCGCGAACATTTCTTGTGTCGGTAAAGTGGCTCAGAATCGAGCGCAGAGACTGGGTCTTAGTCTTGGCTTCCACTTGGTGCAATATGTTCAAAAAGGCTAAACCGAAAAGCGAGAGTAACGAAACAATGTAGCCAGCCAGACGTAATGCAGTCAATGAATTAGAATTGAAAACTACTTCAACTTGAGGTATTTATTTTTATGCCCACCTCCCCTTTTTTTGCGGGAGAGAAATTTTTCTCGACTTTAAATGAAATAAAGTCAAGTACCGAAAAGCTCCGAAAGTAATGATCTACCAAAAATACTTATGTATTTTCACAACCCTTTTAGTTGACAGACTTCCCCTCGCCAAAAGAGAAAATATTACATCAACGGAAACATGAAAACACTGTCATTGGGTTCCCGCCCTCCTCCCCTTACTTAAGTACAGTCAACAAAATGACCATAAACCGGCTACGCTCCTTGTAGTTATCAGTGAAGGATAAGCTGAGAGAAAGCTGGTGTTACCAATGTTACCGGCGGAGAAACGAAACTTTCCCCAAAAGATCGTTTTGGGACTTTGAGTGTAAAACTAATTAATTACATCTACTAAAACTGGCGCACAAGCGAAGGACTGGTCTTGTTTATACCTTATTAAAACCTTCCTGAACGACCTATTGATGATTCATATATTTTGCCTCTGTGAAGTTTATGAAAATGAAACCTTAAGTTTGTTGACGTACGTTCGTGAGAACTAATGCTTTTTTTTCATATAGTCTTCGTTAAATCGCGAAACAGAAAACCTCGCGAAATCAGTCGCTTAGCGGAAATCGCAAAATTAAGCATGAGTAAGGTAGTGTCTAGAAGTTTATAGAGCCCTGCTTAAGTTCAACCCACCTGTCATAAGAACAAGCAAGACGAATGTACCATTCTTGGGTTGCAACATCTTGTCTAGCCGCTCGCAAGTAGAATTGTTAGTCAGCTCACTATATTGTTGCTCAGCCGATATGTTACATGGG